AATAACAGATGACCAGTAGGTGAGATCTCCCTTGAATTCATCAGAGTTTTCAATATGGTCTCCCACAGCATCCTTGTATTCAAGTTGGGATTCTACAGTCTATATTGGTAGACTACTAGATGGGTGAAAAACTAGCTGGAATGTTGGTCTCAAAGCATGGTGGTTCATGCTCTATCTGGAAGTCAGTTACACGTGGATTTCCTCAGTGCCTATTCTGCAACCAGTTCTTTACAGTATTTTTATCAGTGACTCCAAGGAGAAATCAGAATTCACCTGTATCAAGACTGCATATGACACCAAGCCTGGGGGCTGCAGTCAGTACACCAACAGGCATGGGTTCCACCCATGGGGGACCTAGACAGGCTGGAGGAATGAACAAAGCAAATCCATGCATATGGGAAAGACTAACCGTCTCTTAATGGCATTGGCTGTGGACTAGTCCTGGTGGGAAGGACCTGTAGTCCTGGTGGACAGAACATTAAATATGGGCTGGCAGCATGCCTGGACAGTGATGAAGGCCAATGGCACCCTGGGATGCATCAACAGATACATCTGGAACTGCAGGCCTGTCAGTCTGACCATGGTGCCGAGGAAAGCTATGGATCAGATCATCTTGAGTGACATCAGATGGCATGTACAGTACATCCAGGTGAACGGGGCCAGTCACCAGGGGTTTATGAAACCCAGGTCCTGCCTGACGAACCTGATCTTCTATGCCAAGGTGACCCATTTAGTGAATGAGGGAAAGCCTGTGGCTGTGGTCTACCTAGACACTGGTAAAACCTTTGCCATCGTTTCCCACAGCATTTTCCTGGAAAAACTGGCTGCTCATGGCTTGGATGGGTGCACTCTTCACTGGGTGAAAAACTGTCTGGATGGCCAGGTCCAAAGAGTTGTGGTGAATGGAGCAGCCAGTCACAAGTGGTGTTCCTCAGGGATCAGTACTGGGGCCAGTTCTGTTTAATATCTTTATCAGTGACCTGAATAAGGGGATTGAGTGCACCCTCGGTAACTTTGCAGATGACTCCAAGTTGGGCGGAAGTGTTGATCTGCTTGATGGTAGAAAGGCTTTACAGAAGTATCTAGACAGGCTGAATTGATGGGCTGAGGCCCCTGTATGAGATTCAACAAGGCCAAGTGCCAGGTCCTGCACTTGGGTCACAACAACCCCCTGCAACGCTACAGGCTTGGGGATGAGTGGCTGGAAAGCTGCCCAGTGGAAAAAGGATCTGGGGGTCTTGGTTGACAAATGGCTGAATATAAGCCAGCAGTGTGGCCAGGAAGGCCAATAGTATCCCAGCCTGCAGCAGGAACAGGGTGGCCAGCAGGGCT